TGTTAATTAATATACACATACATATATATAGGGGAAAGATGCATAGCGTGTATACTTGATTGTACAAATTCATAGAATATAAATTATAAAACACATTCAAATTATATATTAAAAACAAAGCTATAAGATTAGTTACAAATATATGGTTAACATTAAGAATTTTCTACTTACAATTACTTACACCTGTTACTCTCAATAGAGCATAGGCCGTCGACCAGCATTCTCCAACTTACTCTGGCCTGGAACTTCTTTCCAACTCCTGTCCAAGTTTTGTTCATTCTTTTCATGTCTACCTCCATTTCTCAACGTTATTTTTTCTTTGGTCTTCTCCTTCTTCTCCTTTGGCTTTGAGGGTTCCATGTGAGGGCTTGTCGTGTGACGCAGTTAGGTGCTATCCATAATGTGTGTCCTGTCAACTTGCAGGGCTTCTTCCTGATTTCCTCCTCCACTGGGATCTGGTTTGTTCTCTCCCACAGTATGTTGTTGCTAATAGTGTCCGGCAAACGGATCTGAAGTATTTTGCGTAGACAACTGTTAATAAAGACCTGTATTTTCTGGATGATGGCTTTCGTAGTTCTCCAGGTTTCCGCCCCATACAGTAGAACTGTCTTGATATTTGTACTGAAAATCCTGACCTTGGTGTTGGTTAATAGAGTTGTTTTTAGTTGCAGATGTTCTTTAGTTGTGAATATGCTGCTCTAGTTTTGACAATCTCCGTCAAGTGTGATTCAATTGTTGGATGCTGTGTTGTATCTGAGAATCTTCCTTTTCCCTTTGTGTATGTAGTTAATATTAAAAAGAATCATTTTTTCTTCATGATTCAAGTTAAATATTAACTTATCTCTCCATAGTAGTGCATTTTTTTTATGGAAACAGGTTAATTGAGAGGTCTGTTCTGGTATTTTGATATTTAGTATACTCGTTGACGTAATTCAGTAACTAGAAAATTTGCCTTTGTATCCAGCGAATATTTGTTGAATCGACTGACTAACTAGATTAGATTTTAAGTGTAATAATAGGACGAAACGGCCGTCCAGTGCTTCCAGGTTTTCCTTAGTGGTCTAGCTTCAATTGACTCATGAATTCAGTGATTAAATCTTTGTTAAAAAGCCTTTGAAAACGTTAATTGTATTTATTTTCTACCCAATATACAGTCATCCAAACATTTCAGTACAACACATATAATCTTCCAATCTCTCAAAAAATGGTATATTTATTCAAAAGTCTTTTATTTGCTATTTCTAGGCATAATATATGAAAATAATGGGAGTTTGTTAAAATGTCTCAAGATGTTTAGTGGATTCAGTCGACAGATAACTTGTGATCTATGTTTCATGCTCTTTGGCATGATGCACATGAAGACTTGTAAAAATCGATGCTTCTTAGTTGATTCGGACCTGTATCTCTTACTTCTGCAGTCTGAGACATTACCACACAACTACTTTGACCACAAATGACGCCTTGTAGAACTGAAATGCTTACAATTGACTAATTACAACCTAGTGAAGAATTTTAACACTGCATGGAGCCCTTCATGTGTTACTGTCAGTTCCAAACCTGGGTCGAGAAGGAGTGTTGGGGATGGTCTTAGCAAAAGCATCTCGATAAAGATAAATATTTTTTTAAATGCAACCAATGACAAATGTTATGTTTGTTTAGCTCCTAAGATTTTATAAAATACTCTCAGTCAAGTTGTGATCTGTTTACTAGTCAAAGTGATTCGATATAGTATGCATAAGTTTTTAATGTTAAGTTGTTACAGGTAGTTGACACTAAACCCTGAATATAAGTTTCATACTACTTATCATTTAAATAAATATATAAATGTAATATTGGTCACTACTCGTATTATAACATTATTTTCATAATACTTAAAGACTAAACTAATACAGATTGTTATATATCATAAGGTGAAAATCCTTAAAAAGAAAAGTTGTTGTACCTTCTTAATGTGTTCATAAAAAGAGGTTAAAAACACGGTTTATATATACGTTTATCAATTTGTTCTAATACAGTTATATTTATAAATATAAAAATGAAGAGAAGAAAAAAACGTAAAATAGACAACGCATTTGTTTTAGGGCAAGATATGTATTCTACTTCTGGTCATAAGATCATCAATTTTTTTTACTAGATTATAATAAAAACATGAAAAATTAATTAAATACTTAATCATTGTAAGGCATTAAAAGCATCTTTTTTGTTGAATTTAGTATAAATGGAGTTCTTAGTACTTTGATAACAATTGAATGTAAAAATAATTTCTTCCAAATTTGTATCGGTACATGATTTAAATATTAAAGAGATAATTTAATAAAACAAAAAGATTCCATTGTTCAGTATTTATTTTTATTTAGCATTTCAACTCCACCTGGAGCCACTTTGGGGTTACTGCCGGTTTCAAACCCGAATAAAGAAGAAGGGTTGGACATGGGGTTAGCGACACCATCCCATAGAAAACTAACTCGCTAAAAAAAGGCTAACCAGAAAAAATAATTCAAACCATTTAAACTGTTCCTTGGGAGTCAGGTCTTTATTTAGAATAGCTATAACTTCTTATGGTGAAAGCCCCTTCTGACAACCAGAGCAATCATTAATTTAGGTACATGTAATGCTCGTACAATGTGGGAGACCGGAAGATTCTTCAAAATCGCTGTAGAATCTTTCAATTCATTCAAATCTCCATAACAGACATATAACTGAAAGACCGAGCAATTTCTCGTAACACACAATATGATTCAAAATTGACTTTGAACAGACCAATAACCAAGGAAATAATGAAAAAAACATTCATTTTCATACATAGAATGCACAAATAAATAACATGTTGCTATTTCAATAGTACTATAGAAGAATGTTTAAAAAAATTTTGGCTTCAAAGATTTCGTTACTTATGATTGATTTCGTCGATTGGAACTTTAGTAAAAGTGTATTTTTAAATGACAAGATTTGAAATGATATTTATTCATAATGTTACTAAATCATTCCCATTTTGTAACTAACATCAAATGATTAATCAATTTTTAATTGAAAAACGACATACAATTTTGTTGTCACTTCATATTGTAAATAAGAGTCGTTAATAAAATGGTTAATATGGTATTTGTTTTATACAGATAATCATAAGTTTCAATGTTTTAAATTAAAGTAAACAAAATTATCTCCCGATTTAATTTAGATATTTACCGAAAATGAATGAGAATTGAAAGGCTCTATATTTGAATATCAAAAGTCCACCATTAAACTTTGATACAAATGAGTTACTTACTAAACATTGAAATAAAATTTAATTCAATTTAATATTAACTACAATCAGTTTATCATTTCCCATGATCATTATCAATATTGTCGAGAATTAGAATAATCTTAGCACAAATAAAAAAGAATAAACACTGTTGAATTAGACAAGATTAGAGGAGTATGACTACATGATATATTGATAGAGAAGAAAGTATAGATTTCGATAATGTATTAAGAAGACGAAGATTATCAGAACTATGTGATATATTAGAGCAATACATTTCGAACACTCTGATCACACATGTACTTATTAAGAGCATTTATTTATAAAAATAAAAGGTCAACTAGACTGGAAACAGGGTAAGAGGAGATAAGGATAATGATAAGAGTAATAAAATCTCCACAAAACTCATTCTGATAATAATAATAATAATAATAATAATAATAATAATAATAATGTGAACACAATTCGTAATTTAATCAATCTGGATAATAAGTCAATAATACCAAGGTAGATTTCAGGTAAGAACAAACTGTTTTTAAACACAAAGAGGGGGTTTGAATTTTCATATGGCTAAGGTTTCACTAAGCCTTAGTATACGCCCTTTTACACCTTTATACAATGCCACAAAAGCTGAGTTTAGATCAATCTTGTGACCTGTTTCAATTGTATGTTTAGCAATAGAGGATGATGGACGTTTATCCTCTGCTCTTATTGGGTCACCTGATTGTATTTGTTTCTGAAGCCATTTGGGTACATGTTCACTCTCCCTAATGTTAAGATCACGATTGCTCCTCCCTATGTATCTGTGACCACACGCACATTTAAATTGGTTAGCAGAGTGGGATGTGACACAATCGTTTTCATGTCTTCTAGGTTTTGAATGAAGCATGCACCTTGTTCTTTCTTTGATGATGACCTCTGCTGCACAATACGTTTTATTGATGACTGATTTAAGTCTTTGTTTCAATAAAAGGCTATTTGAATCACCTCTGAACGGTAAGGTGATGTAGACAGGCTTTTTCTCTACCGAGGCTACAGTAGGTTTTGATGCACCATGGACTTTCCATCTATTTATGAATTTCAGAGGATAGTCATTTTCTATTAACGTTTTATTTAACAACTTAACATCATCATCAATGGCGTCGTTTGTACAAATACGATCGAGTCTGTTGAAAAGACACCTTATCAAACCACGTTTGTATTGCATAGGGCCATAGCTATAATAACTAAGATATTGACCAGTCCACGTTGATTTTCTAGAGATATATCGCTTAACTGAGCTATCTTCTCGTCTACTCAGAAGTATATCTAGGAAGGGAAGCTGATCGTTCTTCTCCTCTTCACGTATGAGACTAATATGGTTTTGGAGAGTGTTAAGTTTATTTAATAAACAGTACATATCCTCTTTTCTTCCACAAATAACTAAGATATCGTCCACATATCTCTTATAAAGTGACATGTTTCTGATTAGGTCATCAGTTTGATTTTCAACAAGAAAGTATAGGTTATTTGAAAGAAAAGCAGAAATAACACTAAAACTGTACTATTTTTGAGTACATAGTTTCGGAAATTTTATATATGTTTAGTAAAACCAAATAATCTTCTAGACAATATAGTTATCGTAAATTGTTAGATTTTACAAGACAGTCGGCACATATATTAAAAGTTTAATCATGGAAGCATCTTAAATAATAATCATTCACAAAATTATATATATGTATATATACATATGATGTAACTGGAAAAATATACTCACCTTGCAGGCTTTATTTGTCCCATTTTCCTGACACGAACCGTGCAAAATGTCACACGTGGAAATTTACCTGAAGTTTCCCATTCTTGGCCGGTAATTAAATCATTTAAAACATCCATACCAAACATTGTACTATTGGTCCCAATAAATTTTTTCATGAGGTAAATTTGGCCAACTGAATTACCGATAAAACAAATACGAACTATAAAAAACAGAAAAGTTATACGCGTATTTGGTCGAAAACTACATAATATTCGTTTAATTGTACTTGTTGCTCGTCTATGTCTTGCAGTTGATTCAGCTTGCTCTTCTAATGTAGCTACTAAACATGAAATAGCTTTTTGTCTAAGTTCTCTGTCTGGTACCGATGCCTCTTTAGCTGATCGCAGTAAAACGGGTAATCGTTTTGATCCAACTCGCCATAATATTTGAGGTACCCAACATAACATCGCTTGTCCAGCTAATACTATTGCTATCCACTGATAGTAGCCTATATACCTGACCTTTGTCAATTCATAGTCATCTTCAGGGACTTGATCACTTGGATGAAGGAAATATGTATTCTGTACCCAACAGAGATTTTCTGCATATTCTTCCCAAGAATGTGTGAACTCTTGTGGCACCCAACATTGAATGGGTTTACCTGAAATATTTAGAAGCATACACAAATATATTAAGTCTCATTATTTGAATATAATACGAAAAACTAAAATATAAAAAAAGAATTCATTATTTACCAAATGTGTTAACTCTACGTGTTTTTCATGTTTTAAATTCTGAATACTTTGTACTGAAAATGTGAAACCAATAGTTTGAAGGTAGTTAGGATAGACGATGATAAAAATTCCCAAGGATCTCTTAACAAAATGTATTATCCAATGAGACAATTGTGGTTTTATGAAACAGTTAACTGTGTATAAAGTCAATGGTTCATCAACAAAAAGTCGCAACTCGTAATGAAGAGTTCGTTTATTTATGATTATTGTTTTTTATATTATTTTACAACACAACGATGGGTTCACATTTAATATTATTTTAGATTTCGGGACAATGATTTACCAAACAAGTGATGTATCGGGAGTCACAAATACTCAATTCACTAAATTAACTTATCAAACAGAGAGAAGAACATGACACTGAAAAAATAAATCACAACAGGTAGAATCAAATCACGATATTTATGTGAAAAATATCTTTCTTTATTACAAAGCATTCATAAAGTAAGTAATTTCATGACGACATACATCAATATTTATGAAATATCTAATGTTACGTTCTTTAAATATTGTTTAATGCTTTATTCAATGGTTGTACTGATGCTAATATAACTACTGATTTTGATTTTTTTATTCACTGTGCAGTGTAAGTTACAAGGACTTTAAGTTTAGCCAAACTCTTTGTTTAACTAATTTCAGTCTTACTGGAAGTCTTGATATCATCTAATCTATCAGCATCAAAATTTTATCCTTCTGTATACGACGCTGATCTACAGGATCAATGAGACGGATCACTTTAATAACGGTACTGAATCACCCTGAATACTTCACAAAAATTAAAATATGCACTACGCTGCATTAAAAAAATAACACTTAATTATTGATTTAAATCATTAGCTTTCTCAGTATTGTTGTCAACCTGTACTAAAATGTAAAATCCATTTACATATTAGTTTTCAATAAGAGATAATGATAAATTCATTTTTCAAAAAGAAACACTTATTCGAAGACATTCAGTTAAATAATAATAGTAAAATACAAAGTGTTATTTTCAATTTAGGAATATTTTGAAAAACAAACCTCTTCTCAAATACTACAGGTTCATGTATTCGGAGACGCACATGAAGGGTAAAGTTATCACCCATATTAATGAATATGGATGACTGTAAACATGAATTCTTTTTAAAACAGCATGTTCACCGATTCAGCTTAAGAGCGTCAATGTATATTATTTACACTCTTATTGATCGTATGTATAAATTTACAAATAATTACTAGGGTGGTTACTTTGACAAAACAAATATTCGAACCTACTTTGAATTTATAATGTCCTTCTAAATTGCTTCAGTCAATGAAAATAGTGAAATTCATTATAGTTAATTCCAGATATTTCTTGATGATACAACATCAGAAAAACAACATAAAATGGCAGCATAATGTCCTTCAAGGCGGTAAATAAATAACCATGTTCTATCATTGAGAAATTTGCTGAATTCATTTTTAACAAGCGTCTATAATCTGGTTTATATATTCAAAAGCAATCATTTATTAATCTTCATTTGCCCTGGTAGTACAAATGCTACCATACAACTTACATAAGAACTTTCGTCTAAATTTGAACGAATAGTTTCACAATATTTGGGCGCCAAGTTGATGTGAGACATTAAAAAGCAAGAATGTATTTGTAAAATCTCAGCGAAAGAATTTGAAGTAATTTCAACGTTTAGATTTATATTTGATAATTTTGTTGTTTGATTATATTTTCCTTGAAAGAGAATGGACCAGATTGCCAGGCGAAACGTTGGAATTACTTCAAATTCTTTCGCTGAGATTTTACAAATACATTCTTCTTTTTTAATGTTATAGAACTTACACACAAAATGACATTTATAAAGCATATTATTTATTTATTTATACAAATCAGTATATTTGTGAAAGATTTATAGCAAAAGAAATGAAATAAATTCATTTCATTTAATAGAGTTTCTTGTTCTCATTTACACAAGTAGTTCCTGTTTGGTTGAATTACAGGTTTTCATTATCCGAATACTTCATAACAATCTTTCAACTTATTTCTAGGGATGTACAGCAAGAACAATGAGTATTGTGAGATGACATGAGTTCAAGTTATTTAGTCCTCATACCCTCTTCAACTACTATTATCGATGTTAGTATTATTATCATCATTATTTTGACTACCTCACTGTTATTTTTTTATATTATTCGCTAACATCTTCATTTGTTTGTCCAGTGTAGTTATAAACATTTACATATGTTTCTTATACTCACTTGTGGAATGATCTCTTTTTCACTCTCTCACTAAATCCATTCATTTATTTATTGAACACATACAAAAAAGTAAATTGTATAATTATTTTTCACTAATCAACCAAATGACTTTATATAAGTTCTACAACGAATCGAATGCACTTTATTTATTTATAAAACACAATGCTAATGTAGAGAATTTAGTGTATATGAAATGAATGATATTCACTTCTTAGCGAAGATGAATAGTGGCTGGCAGTGAAATCCAGAATGCACGTTTCATTCTATTTGAAATGTTCACTCTGGAACTTGAACTCAGTACCGTTCACTTCAAACACCATTGTGTTATCCGCTTAGTTACTGAATTTTAATATTCACATCATTTAACAAAATTCGTTGATCTTACTTTATGAAAATATACTGAAATAACTAACTTGATGAAATTCTTATCACGTTCATAAATTTATTTTTAACTAAATTCTATTTATTTTATTCAAACTAATCACCATCATTTATTTACTATATTACCATCTATTCACAAGCCTTATAAAGTTTATTATTGTTATTATACTAAGGCATCCTCTCTCTCTGATGTCCTAGTTACACTTATAATAACTAATAATAACATTTTACTTTTCCTGTTTGAACTTTTCATATAAACTTCATTTTTCTGTTTACATTACCAAATTCACTTTCTACTATCAATTCTGACATATCAGAGATTGTATACCACTAATGAAACTATAACAAAATCTAAGAAATCCATCTTTATTGTTCCTTTCAATATTAATCAAACTGATAGGTTTTTTCTTTTTAGAAATCATCATCAACAAGTTCTTTTTAAAAAAGAAAAAACAAAATTATTATATATTAGATAAATTACATAAATTGTTTTTTAATGTTATCAGAAGATGTATATGATAGCGTAAGAAAAAAAAACAAAAGTTTATGGATCGTAGATACGTACTGCTGATGAATCTCATACTAGAATGAAACAATCATCCAGTGCTTCCACGTTTTACATAGTGGTATAACTTCAATCTACTCATGAAATTACTATAATATCTACAGAAACCCCTTCTGATACTAATCAATATGTGCTTACTGGTGACCAGCTTAAAGAGGTATTTCCTGGAGTTCTAGTGACAAGCAGTGACCAGTGGACTTCAACCAGGTCTATTGTGAGATTACAACTCACTGAAGACACTAGTGGATATATTACTCAGTTTTGTGGATTAGTTGAATTTAGACATTAATACCATTAGATGCCGGTTCAGTGATCTAGAGGTTAAGCGTAAATTATGTTCTATTTATAGACTGTGGAATTTTATAGTACATTTTTTCAACCACATATATAGTAAGTCATGTACACTTATGATGTAATTTCATGATTTCGATTCAATACATCATATTTTGTTATATGTTAAGCTATATCTAATAATAAATGTATGTACATTCATATATCTAGAGGATTGAAGAAATCAAACAAAAGGGAAACTAACATGTGATCAGATAAATTATTCTTTCAATTATGGAACATTGTCGGTATATTTGTTTTGTACATCTAATTATGTTTATGTTTATATTACTTTTTGAAAACTTTAAATCATTTACCACAGAAGGAAAGATAAAATAAAGTGATTGTATTATTATTATTATCATCATTGGATTTACTTCATAAATTAATAGTGAAATTCACTTGATATTGTTTGCTTGTATCTTCCCACAGTTATTTAAGACTACAATTGATCAGTCACTTATTGGTATATGTGCATACTGTGCAAATTGACTTAATAATGCATTAAGTCACAAACTTTATAAGAAAAGATGGATGATGGTTAGCAGTGGAATCCATAATGCTCGTTTCGTCTTACTTAAGACTCGTCAGCTGGATGTACCTGCATCTCAAAGTTGATGTTCACTCTGGGACTTGAATTAATAGTATATTACAGAATATGTTTAGTGAAAATACCACTTGTTTTTGATAATGTTTCAAATCTTAAATGTTAAAAAGTGCATAAATATGTTAAAATTGAAATGAACTTATTCAGTATGATATTTTTAAAGACAAAAACATAAGACAAAACACAAAGTTTTCCTTAACTAAAAAAGGATATTTATCCAGGAAAATTGGATATCCTATTTTTCATTTTACTCAAATTTTGTTCAGAATGAAGTTTTCATATTGGGAGCATTTGTCGCTAGTGTAATTTTCTGCTTTTATTTTAATGTGAACTACGAAGACTGTCACGATGTTGAAATTCCAGTTATTATTTATAAATTAAACACAAATGACACCATATTTAATTCTTTTGTTTAGTCACCATAATGTAATATAATAGATAGAATTCGAACGGTTTTAGGAAATAGCATTATCAGGCTCTAACGTTTCGTATATATATAATTTATAAAGAACCAGGCAGTAAAGTGAAAACCTATTTTAGTAAGAGACTGATAGTTTTGACTGTAATTATATCCATGATAAAAATAAATCACTTTACATCCAGAAAACTCAATAAATTTCGAGTTTCTTATCCTATTTTCTAGCTTATTGATCTTTGGTATCTTTGTAACTCCATTCTGTGATGAAATTAAAATTCCATATATTAGTAATAGAATTAACATAGTCTTTCACTCACTGAATCGAATATGCAATGTT